CAGATGCTTATTAGTATTTGGTCCATTTGAAGTATGTCAGTAGTGTTTAATTTTTCCACCCAAATAAAGAGCTTAATTAGCATGCGCAACCAAGTTATCATTAATTCAGAATAAGTGCCGAATCATACAGCACTCGAGCTAGGTAAGGGAAAGTTGGCCCGATCCCCATTGTTCCACTTCACACAGGACATGACAATGGGTGTAATGTTTTTAGGTGTCGATTGCCATGTCATCAGGAAAAATTGCTACATTCTTCGACAGTTTAAGCCACTTTTCCCCTATATGAAAAATCAACTCTCACATTAGCGATAACGCGCTTCAAGTAAATGGGAACACTCCACCGATTGTGCCTGCTTGTGATTAGTGAACAACGCAGCAGAAGGTGAACTGAAGGAGGGGCGTAACTGAACTTTGCTTCAGAAAGTGAAATTTATTCAAAATCATGGTAGCGATGCTTTAATCGCTTAAGATGTAATATGTTTAATAACATTACATGTGTTAGAAAACAGTATTTGTAAGAGTAGATTTAGCTGGTTTGGTAATGTGGCACATTGAGCCAAAGGGGATGTGATGAATTGCATGCAAGTTGTTCATTTAGTGACTGCCTCCTCTAGTGTGTCCACATCAAAGTGATCCTGACCTCCGGCCCGAAGCCATTACTGTCGGCATTACGAGTAAACCAGGCGTAAGTTGCGTACCCTTACCCCTGTTTTACTCTAGTGTCACTTTCGCTTATTTGACTTGCTTTGAAAGGTCCTGACTATGCAACAAGTATTGCCCAATCAGGGGGAGGCTGAACAGGCGGGCATGCAGCAAAGTCTTTTGAAATGTTGGATAAAGACGTGTCAAGATAATTTGTGTGTAATCAGTTGGAGATTAGTTTTTTTCTGTCATCAGATTCCAATAAGTTTCCTTTTTTTACCTGCAAAATCTTTGCATTCTTTAAGCAAGTTAGCTAACGCAGGCATAAGAAGATCACAAAAAATTAATGCACTCCTAATAAGAGTTAGAAAATCCGCTCCTTATGACACTAGAGGCTGGGCGGAAGACGCAATGCGCTCATGTGTTCTTGGTACTAGGTAATAAAGCTTGAAGCATATACTAGTATTCTGCGATTCCCTTCCATCACATCACCATCGACCACTTCCTTTGCATTAACTATAGAGCACCAACTTTTAGTATAGCTAAAGCTGCATCACTGAAAGTTAGATACGAATGGGCTCAATGTCATCGCCATCGTCTCATGACTTCTCTTCTTTGACACCTTCAGATCCAAAATTTCG